CACACCCCTCCTGCCCCTTTGGCCAAGTTGTTTATTCAGCAAAATGCTTTCAGGATTCAGAATCTATGAGGCAGGAAAGCTCCTTGTTCTGGTTCCTTTAGGTATAGAGCCTGATATTCTTGGGTAACAATTTTCTTTTATATTTGCAAGGATGTGCCTAGCTTTCAAGCCAAGAATAGAAGCGAGACACAGCAGTGAGATAACAAACTTTGCACTAATGCCGACCAATATTAAGGTTACAATTTACAAGCTAGAATTAGTTCCTAACAACTAATTTCTAACAGTATACAATAATATAAACAGAAGCCAATAACAAAGCTTAATTCCTAATAAATGATTTCTAGCAGTATATCATATCAGCAAACAGCAAATATTGGTTTAATCAGTAACAATTATATAGTAGCATAAGCAATTCATAATAAAAGCAAATAGCCAATATTGATTCATATACTCCTTCATAAACCTTGGGAGATTAGAACCTAGCTGGCCTGAATGCATCTAAACATTTATACATACAGATGTGCATATAAAGCCTTCACTAACTATACTAATATGACTTGCTGATCTCTACTTAATGAGATCAGACAAGTACAGCAGCTGTCACTATGTTCTACAGCAGTGATGGCTAACCTTTTTGCCGTCACGTGCCAAAAGAGGGGGGAGCAGGGGAGGTCGTGGGCGTGCATGCCCACAGCCATAATTCAATGCTCCCTGCTCCCCCGCGCATGTGCATGCAACTCCCCTGCACTCCCCCCGCTTTTGGCACGTAATGACACGGTGGGCCCGGTAGGCCCGTTTTTCGCTCTTCCCAGGCTCCAGAGCCTTTCTAGGAGCCTGGGGAGGGTGAAAATGGCCTTCCACATCCCCCGGAGGTCCTCCAGAGGCCGGAAACAACCTGTTTCCCAACTTCCGGTGGGCCCAGAAGGCCAGAAAATAAGCTGTCCGGCACACGCATGCGCGCCAGAGATGAACTAGGGCAACGCGCGCATGCCAATATGGCTCCACGTGCCATCATGGTTCTATAGGTTAACACGATTTATAAATCAACGCATGATTTATTTAGAAAACTAGGAGTAATCAGTTTAGCAGTACATAAGAATCCACTCAGTAGGGATTCATATACATTGTGCTAAATCATAATGTATTTTTTTGGTGGCTTAACATTAAGATAAACCCAGCCACTGATGGTCCTTCCCCAGTAGTGACTTATGTCTGTCGAACATTGAATCAGCAGGAAACTATCAGTCTGCTTTTCCTAATGTGTTCCTGATATATGCCTCTATTTATAACACTGACAATTATCTGATTTCCCTTCAAGCAACAGATAACAAAGCCTAACCATTTTTGCCCGTTTTGAAGCCATCCTAAGACAGCATCAGGATAAGGGTAAAACACTACTTGATCAATTCCACAAAAGAGAATATTAAATGGTCACCCAATAGAGAACACTATGGGGTAGTATTAGAATATCACCCATGGCTATAAATTAAATTACTTAAAGTACAGTCCTAAACTGCAAAACTATAAGAAGTAATGCAAGTACTGTTTTTATTAACATGCCCCTTTAGTTATGACATATATTTCTTTGTAAGGAATTTATCTGTCTGGCAGTTTTCTAAATGTTAAATACTGTAATGGCTCCTGGGACTACTCACTCTTTTCTCTTGAACATTCTGTGAATCATTCTCCCCCCCCTTTTTTTTTTTGCAGTAAAAAGTTCAGATGGGTGGGGTGATGGGAAAATGACTTAGTTACTGCCAGAAGACTGACTTCTCCTTTTCCCCCCCCCCCAATTTCTTCTTCATGAATCTTAAATCCACCTAGAAGTAAATAAGCAGTTTCAATCAGGACTGAAATATACATGACTGGAGTCAGTGGTGGGATTCTGCTGGTTCTAAAGGGTTCGGCTGAACCGTTTGTTAAATTGCTGGCTCGCCCCACCCCTTGCCCCGCCCCTCCGCACCACTGGGCGAGGGGTGGGCGAGCCAGCAATTTAACAAACGGTTCGGTGTTTTTTTATAATTTTATTGGCCTCGCAGCTGCCGCGGGGCTTCAAAGAGCCACCCTACAGCTGATCAGTGTTAAAAGAAAAAGAAATGAGTAGACCGACGCCTGCAATTATAAATGAGTAGACCCAGTGGTGGGATTCTACTTTGGTAGAACCGGTTGTTAAGTAGTTAAACCAGTGGTTGCTAAAGTGGGTGGTACCGCCCCGCCCCTGGGGGGCAGTGGGATGCCTTGGGGGGGCGGTAAGCGGCAAGGGGGGCGGCAGAGGGATGCTAGAGGCAAAGGGGGGACAGGGGGGCTAAGTGGCAAGGAGGGTGGCCCCCCCTTTGACCTGTGCCTCGCAGCACTTACCTCCGTGCAAGCAAACAGCAAGAAAAAAACAGTTTCAGCATAGGTTAATTAGCATGATTAGATCCCTCCGACTCTCAGCTGATTCGCTCTCAGCTGTTTTGCAGGCTCCTTTGCAAGCTCTTTGCTTGCTGCAAAGAGTGCTCGAGCAGATTTTTTTTTCCCCTAGCTAAAAGGAAAATGAAAGTAAAGCAGGCTCTGGTGCAACGTGACAAAATGAGGCAGGGAGAGAGATTTCTTTTTCTTTTTCTTTCTCCTCACCAAAAAAGGTAGGTGCAAATAATGGGAAATTTAGGACAAAAGAGGAGAGTTCAAGATTTTAAAACACAAAAGAAAAAAAGCTCTATTTAAATAGGGAATTGTAATAATTGAGATACTATTAATTGTATATTGTGTTGAAAGCAGAAATGGTTAAGTTGTGGTTTGGAGGAATATATACGGGAAATTATTTGGTTTATTATTATTGGTAAATATAATTAATTGATTTGTAAGAAATTGGATTGCATGAAAATAATTGGAATATTCATGTTCATATTGATTAATATACAAAAAAGATAGTTGTATAACTAATTGATTTATATTAAAATGTTGAATTTGTATTAAACAACTGTAATATTACATAATTAACCAATGTGAGAATGGATATAAAAATAGATGACAATGGGAAGGGGTATAATATAGAATAGAAGGGAAAAATTGAATTTGATTAAGATTAGAGATGAGGATGAAGGGTAATATTGGTTTTTTACAAAAATAGATGAGGAATAAATATGGCAAAAAGGAAATATAGAAATTGTAAATTTAATTGAAATGACTAAACACTGTTTAAATTTGTGAACTGGCCAAATACTCTGTTCAAAGAAAATACATTGTATGTTTGTATGTGTGTTTCTAATTATTGCTATTTATTCATATTTGTTCTCTTTTATTCTTTAAAGTTTAACAATTCATTCTTTATCTTAATATCTTTATATTTGTTTGGGGTTGGCGTTCTTCCCTTTCATCTTTTTTATTGTACAGCAATCTTTCTCCTCAAACCTACCACCACTCTTTTCTTTCCTTCTTACTTTCTCTTCCACCCCTCTTCTCTCCTCCCTACTTCCTCTTCCTTTCTCCTTCTCCTCCTCTCTTCCTCCCTCTCTTACCCTCACTCCTACTCTAATTTCCCTTCCCTCCTTCATCCCTCTCTATTGCTGTATCCTTTTATGCATATGGACTACTCAGAGGGCTGAAAAAGTTATTTTTGACTGGTCCTCGCACTTTTGACCAGTCCTCGAACTTACGACTGTCCTAACATTTTATGTTTTTGCCTTATCTTGTCACCATGGTGAAGAGAAGTAGTTGTGAAATGAGTGACACGGTTGTTAAGAATGCTACAATGGGCATAAATGATGACCAATCATAAGTGCAAAGACTGATCAAAAGTGCGAGGACCTGTCAGAAATCACTTTTTTCAGCCCTCTGGGTAGTCCTTTTGTGCATATGGACTACTCAGAGGGCTGAAAAAGTTATTTTTGATTGGTCCTCGCACTTTTGACCAGTCCTCGAACTTACGACTGTCCTCACATTTTGTTTTTGCTCTAGCTTGTCACTATGATGAAGAGAAATAAGTGACACGGTTGTTAAGAATGCCGCAACAGCATAAATGTGAGGATGGTCATAAGTGCGAGGACCGGTCAAAAGTACGAGGACCAGTCAGAAATGACTTTTTTCAGCCCTCTGAGTAGTCCCTATGCAGATAGCCACGCCCACCCGGTCACATGACCAGCTAGCCACACCCACCCAGTCGCATGGCCACCAAGCCACACCCCCAACTAACCACGCCCACAGAACCGGTTGTTAAAAAAATTGAATCCCACCACTGACTGGAGTGAAGTAAACCCATTTCCTTCATGCTCTGCCTTGTATTTTCCAGACCCATTTCTGATTATGTAAGAAATCAGATGATGAAATATAGTGGAATGCTAGTCAGAGAGAACCATAGACAGTTTATTGTATAAATCAGGGGTCTCCAACCTTGGCAACTTTAAGCCTGGTGGACTTCAACTCCCAGAATTCCCCAGCCAGCTTTGCTTTGCTTTGCTGGCTGGGGAATTCTGGGAGTTGAAGTCCGCCAGGCTTAAACTCGCCAAGGTTTGAGACCCCTGGTATAAACTACATTAAATATTCAAAGGTTGTCATTTTCTTTTAAATATTTCGTGTCAGCCCTTGGAGAGGTAGTCCAGAAAAAAACAGCAACTATGAGAACTAGAATCCTTTTATGGTAAGGTAACAGAATCTTGCAAATCCAAAACCACATCTCTCCTCCCTTGACTTTACAGACCCAAAAACTAGGGAGGATCTCTTCAAGATACAGTGTTTACCACACTCCATTTTTTTTCTGGTGATACAATGGTGGCACAGTGGTTAGAATGCAGTATTGCAGGCTAACTCTGCTCACAGCCAGGAGTTCAATCCCAACTGGCTCAAAATTGTCTGAGCCTTCCATCTTTCCAAAGTCAGTAAAATGAGGACCCAGATTGTTGGGGGCATTTGTAAACCACTCAGAGAGTGCTGTAAAGCACCATGGAGCGATATATAAGTCAAAGTGCTATTGCTATTGCTATTTCTGCAGGCTAAATTGCTTCTTATCTGACTTTGCCTAGGCTACTGCTGTTGCTGCTGCTGCTGCTGATCTTCTTGTCTCTCAAGGATATTTTCGGGATTATTATACGTCCTTGTTTATCACACAACCTTTGAACATTGCAAAGTACAGCAAGATTTTCTCTGGAAAAAAAATTAATAAATGATTGGCCTATGGGACTTGACTTTTTGAACGCCTACTTTATTACATCTGTGCATCTTTGCATGCCATTATACAAAAATCCATCTTTGTTGTCATATAAAAGATCTTCCTTTGCAGAGCTATCCAACCACAAACTCTCACGGAAGATGAAAATGCAACTCGTTGAAATCTGACTAAGCAATTGAATTAACTAATGCAATAAAACAATGTTACATCTATTTCACTCAAATAAATCTCCTTTGGCATATTCTTCTGGGGTCATAAATAGATATAAAAAATGAAAAATTGATGCAATATAGTGAAGGAGTGACATTGTTCCTTTTTATTACGGTTGGTCAACTGGACAAACTGGTATGAATTTTATTGACTTAAGGCATAGATAAAATTATTGAACTTACAAAACAGAGCTTCTGTGGTCACACTTGTTTTCATTCTCACAAGATATCAGGTAGTCCTTGAGTAACAACTACTTCTTTAGCAACCATTCAAACTTGCAACAGGGCTGACCAAATGGTATTTACAATCAGTCACGTGATCACAATCTGAGCATTTGATTATGATGATGTTGTAGTTCAGTGATAGCAAACCTTTTCGGTACCGAGTGCCCAAACTGGAACATGTGTGCATGTGCATGCGTCACAGTGCCAGAAACCCAAAGATCAGCTGGCTGGCTCTCGAATGCCTGTGTTTTGGCCATTTTCATGCCATTTTCAGGCCACTTTCAGGCTGTTTTTCAGGCCATTTTCAGGCTGTTTTTCTGGCGGTTTTTGGCCCCAAAAACCGCCTGAAAACAGTCTGAAAACGGCCCGAAAAACAGCATGAAAAATGCACTGGTTTTTTTGGCCATTTTTTGGTGCTCTGGCACCCTTGAAGACCAGCTGGCCAGAGCCAGAAACCAGAACAGTAGCTGGTGATAGCACACATGCCCACAGAGAGGGCTCTGCGCACCACCTCAGACACGCATGCCATAGGTTCGCCATTATGGTTGTAGCTTCTGGCAAGCAGTCAGTGGAAAAGCTGCAGATTGCAAATGCTGACATGATATCCTTGCTTAACAATCTGCAAGGTCCTTAACAACAGCAACCAGGAATTGCTGTTGCTGACGCTATGCAGGAGAGTCATGTGATGTCATACTTTACAACCACATTACTTAGTGATGGCAAGTCCAATTCCAATTGTTTTAATCTATGAGCCAAATTTTTATATATTCAATTTTAAATTGTTTTAAATTTTGTAAATTTATATGTGTTTTAATATAGCTGTACACCACCCTGAGTCCTTCGGGAGAAGGGCGGTATAGAAATCTAATAAACATAACATAACAATTGGCATTATTTATCTGTTCAGGTAGTCCTCGATTTACAATTCACTTAGTGACTGTTTGAAGTTAACAACAGCACTGAAAAGTGACTTATGACCATTGTTCCACACTTATGACCACTGCAACATCCCCATGGTCACGTGATCAAAATTCAGATACTTGGCACCTGACTCACATGTATGATGGTTGCAATGTCCTGGGGTCATGTCATCACCTTTTGCAACCTTCCAACAAGCAAAGTCAATGGAGAAACCAGATTCACTTAACAGCCATGTTACTAATTCAACCACTGCAGTGATTCACTTAACAACTGTGGCAAGAAAGGTCCTAAAGTGGGACTCATATTTATGATGATTGCAGTGTCCCAGGGTCATGTGATCACCTTTTGTGACCTCCTGACAAGCAAAATTAGTGGGGAAGCCAGATTCATTTCACAACTGCATTACTAACAACTGGAGTGATTCACTTAATAAAGGTGGCAAGAAAATGGGACAAAACACACTTAACAAATTTCTCACTTAGCAACATAAATGTTGGGCTCAATTGTGGTCATAAGTTGAGGACTACCTGTATTAAAAAATTGACTAGATTTTACAATGTATTAAACCAAAATGTGATTAATTGGTTTTTGGTTCAGTACATTGCATGAGTAAAGACCCGATAGAATTTAAATCCTGGTTTGTGGCCATAAACGTAATCCTTGGCTTACTATGGTTCATTTAGCGACCATTGGAAGTTACAACAGCACTGAAAGAAGTGACTTATGACAAGTTTTCACACTTATGATCGTTGTAGCATCCCCATGATCAATATTTGGTCACTTGGCAACTGACATGCATTTATGACAGTTCCCATGGTCATATGTTTCCCATTTGTAACCTTCCCAGCTCCCTTCTGACAAGCAAACTCAATGGCAGAAGCCAGATTCATTTAATGAGAGGATTCACTTAACATCTGCAATAATTCACTTAACTGGGACAAAAAAGATCGTAAAACGGGGCAAAACTCACTTAACAACTGCCTTCTTTAGCAAGGGAAATTTTGGGCTCAGTTGTGATTGTAAGTCAAGGACTACTTGTACATGATTTGTCTATCTTGGCAATTATTGGCAGAGTTGTCTACCACCTATAAAACATATTGTATGTGACATGTTATATATTTCAAAATGTATCAGGAATGTAATTCTAAGTGTTCATAACTAACAATCAATTGTATTTGACTTTCATGCAACTTATCTAAACATATCCTATGTATAATATTTTACATCAGATACTAATGGAAGAAAATTATTGTAAAAAGGCCAACATGTTTAAACTGAATAATTGTTCATAACATGTTTGTATGTTTCAATGAAAACAACATATCACATTGTGTTTGGCAGCAGGTTTATTTTTTAAAAAAAGTTACAAAATTCCCAGCAAAGGACCATAATTATTGGTCTACTGGATGGTTTCATCAAATAAAACAGTGAAAAAGCAAAGGTAAAAACTGGGTCCTTAGGACGGATTATTGGGCTTCCTATTAGATTTAGCAGAAGTGGTTCTTGGGTTGGATTGATGGAGAAACGCCATATATGCAATCTCGATCTTTTCAGATAGAGGAATTGAGTTGTACTACTGACTCCCAAAGCTTCCGGATGTAACAAGCAAACAATTGTTGTTCAATATATGGAAACGGCATATATTTCAGCAGTTAAAGTCAACTCTATTTCTATCTTTCAATCTATCTACACATCACATGACAAAGAAAACAGAAGAGAGATTTACTAGGCAGCTTTGAATAAAACAGGTTTTATGGAGATTTTGCAATCTCTTCCGGTTCATTAAAAAAATCAGTGATAGAAACATTAGGTAGGATGAACTAACAGAGGTGCAATCTGGAAAAATACATTCTCAACAAGATAGAATAAAATATTTTCTGGTGTATAAGGATGCAAATGTGCTCCATTTTTTCAAAGACACACAAAACATAATTGTAGCTCTGCTAATTAAACAAACAAACAAAAAGCCCACCAAAACTATCTCAAGGATAATCTGCCAATTAAAGGATTCGATAGTTTAGCCCAATGGTTAAGGCACCAGGCTAGGCAGTAGGAGACTGTGAGTTCAAGTCTTGTCTTAGCCTTGAAAGCCAACTCTGTGACATTGAGCCAGTTACTCTCTCTGAGCCCAACTTATTGCCACCTTGAGTTATTTGTAACAATAATAATGGTCGGGTACAAATACAACAATAAATTTCCAAAATATGTGCATGTTTTACATTTCTAGCAAAGCTTTACCAAGTTTTACAAAGGATGATTACAAAAGTAGATGGCAAGAAAAAAATGGAGGAAATCATACGTGCACTTCATTCAACCGTGTCATGAAGTATGACAGCACCACCTAGTGAGAATGTCCAGTTATATTCCTGAATAACTGCAAATATGCTATGGAAATGATCATTTAAACATAGACACATAACTACCAGTAAAAGGAGAGAATTTGTAGCTTAGGGGTGAAATGAGGGGCCCTGGTGCTCTCTGAGCTTTTTGTTTCTTTCTTGCAGACATCTCATTATCCAAACTAGGTAACTTCATGCTTACTAGCATGATGTTACCTAGTTGGGGTAATGAAACATCTGCAAGAAAGAAAGACAGCTCAGAGAGCGCCAGGAACCCCTCACATATAGCTAGTTACATGTAGGGTTAAAAAAAATGGGGGGGACCCCAACGTATTTGATAATGACAGCTTTTCCTCCCTAACCCAAAACAATTGGAAAAATTTGAAAAGTTAGTCTCAGTGGCATATGTATGTATGTATGTGTATATATATGTGTGTGTGTGTGTGTGTGTATGAATTTTTAAAGTTGAAATTTAAAGTAAATTGGGTGCTTTTGAAGGGTCCTCCCCCACATTTCAACTCTGTACATATAATCCAAGAAATTCTTTACCAATTTTCATAATTTACAGTAAATTGCTGCCTGAAAAAATCATCCCCATCTAATAGCCTGTCCAAGATTGCTTGGTATTTAGTGTTATTTGTATATCTGTTTTACCTGTTTCTAGGGAAATTGGTAATGGAAAATGTACTACTTATGAATTATTTATTTTCAGATAAGGATGAGACATCCAATACTTCTATAACCTTGAAATGGGGAATACCCATAGGCAAAAAGGTAAATATATAGGGCGATCCTACTGCAGGGAAATCAGAAACGAACTGCTATTCCTAAGAGTCATCATGGGTAAATGGATGGATTTGATTTTCTCATATTTTGAGAATGGGAACACTACTGCTTCATTCTTTTATTTCTAGAAAACTTTATTCTAATATTTTAGATTAAGGTAATGTTTGCAATAGATAGATCATGGGTATTGCTTGTAATGTTTGTTTCTTTTTTCTCCTCCTTACAGTAACTTCCAAAGTGATTTTTCTTCTGCATTGTACTGGCTTGGCTCAATTATCCTTCTATGCTTCTCTTGTGGGAGCTTACAATTTCACTGTATGTAACCATACAGCTATTAAAACAGACTATCAAAATATACTACAGGTATGGCACTGGTGGGAATAAGGGTAGAATGTATAGATACAGCTAATTAGATAATGTCTGCAATAGTTGAAATCAATGATAGATTTTCTAAGAGTAAATGTCTTAAGACTTAAAATTCAGGTGGCATCCTCAAATGGAAATCGTTTCACCATCATCTGTTACAATTCAGGCTATGCTGGATTTTCTACTAAAATGAAAATGTTTTTATTTTTAATGAATAAAAGTAGTACAGTGAAGAGTCATAAATTCTTATGTCTCGGTACATTACATTTTTAATAATTAAAATCAAACTTGCCCTAATAAGGAATAGTTTATTCTGACAGTTTATTCAATTTATTCTGAATAGTTTATTCTTATTCAAGCACTACTGTTTGAAACCTCATTGAAATTCAAAAGGGCTTATTTTAAAGTAGAAGTTACAGAACATCAGATTTAGGGTGACTGCATTTTTAAAAAATATTCATTTTACCTCTACAAGAACTTTTGTGAGTAAAGCATTCCTAGCAGTTTTTACTGACAATTTCTCAAAAAAATGTTAACCAAACACATTAATTTCTTCTTTAATTTCTTTTAGAACATTATTGAAAACAACTTGAGCAAGGTTTGTTTTATTCCACTCTCTTTCATGTGATTTTAACTGAATCATAATTCTCTTGGGCATTGGGCTTCAATTATAAATTAGTGTATGCACAGCATACGTAATTCCATACATAAATCTGTATGAATTTTCCGAGAGAAAGAGGAAAATTAGATTTTAGATGTGCATATTGCAGAAACAATCTTACTAAATGATTAGTAATACTTTCATTTCACTTAAACTATTGTTCACAATAATTTAGAATGTAACATATTATAAAATTCCTTATGGCTTAAATAGACAGGATCACTGAATATTTTGGTGTATAATTATGTGCCTAGTAACTTTTTCCTATCAATACTTAACTCGCTTGCTTAAAAGTGTATGCATATTGCTCATTATTTTATTCTTCCCCGCTAGGCAAAGAAAAACATTAAGAATTGTTGTACAATGGAGGTAAGATTTTATGTTACTTGGAAAAAACAATTTAAACAATTTAAAAATGCTTAAGGGACTAACTAGCCACAACACAAATCCATTGTTTCATGTTTTACTTGTTTTTGCAGCCTTCTAAACATTATAAATTGTATATATTAGATAACCTTGTCACTTTTTTTTGTGACTACACTGGTACGCACACAAATCACAATTTAGAATACAGTACCCAAAACGTTTTTCACATAGCCCAATTCCTAAAACAGCACATGAGCGCTCAAAGCAAATTAAAATTATAAAAGGAATTTTCTTATTTTTAAAAAAGTAAAATAAAACATTTTCCAAGGAAGGAGAGTGCGATGACGGGAAAGTTCGGAGCTTGTTTATCTCGCATTAATCCATAGATTTCTTTTCCTTGGTGCTCTACATACTTGGCAGGATCCTAAAGCTTACCTGGAGCTAACTAGATAGTGAATTCACGTGGAGCACGCACCTTCGTACAGTTTAAGCCGCATCACTGAAAGCTTTTATCCCCACCTTTTTTTCAAATGCCGTGTCGCACCTCTGACACGCTAATGAGATTGGGCGCCCATTGGAGGAGACTGCACGGGAGGGGAAGAGGAGCAGCCAGTTCTCAGCCAATAGCCTGCAGGGATGCCTTGGTTTAGTGATCCTTTTCAAACTTTGTCCTCTTTTCTTCTTCCTTCCCGGAAAGTCTCAGGCTAAGTTATTGGGTTGCATCTACCACTTCACCGAAGCCAAATTCTCTGCATCGAAAATCTGGAATTTCACCAATGCCCTCCTGAAAAATCACTGCGACGGCAACTCCGAGGTAAAAAGCAAAAAAACAAAACCGGCCTGTCAAAGAGACGGGGGGAGGGTTTCAAAAAATCCGCGTGAAGCACGCTTACGATGTTCCAAATAATACGTATGAACCAGGGAACCGCCCTTCCGATGAGTAGAAGGCTGAAACTGCTTGTTACAGCGATTGTCGCGTAGTTGCGACATAGTCTGATGTACACAGCCCTGATCTCGCTGCCAGAAAGGAATACCAGGGGTAAGGAAAATTAGGACCGTCCCTGTCCTAATATTCCTTTTTACTCTTATTCTTTCCATGTATTCAAATTATGTTTATACTGTTATCTTATATATGCTTGACAAATAAATAAATAAAACTTATTTCTGCAGATTTCAAAGCTTTGCTTGCTTTGGGGATGGCGGGGGTGGAGGGAAGGGACATAGGTTTGAATCTTAACAGTGCCCTGATGTTCGCCTATGTTGCCTGTGGAAGAGTAGGGCTCACTGACTAGCAAATAATGGTTAGGGTCAAGGTGTAAAAATGCCTTCTTAAGCATTTTTCCCTCCCTTGAAGAGTGTGAAGCCAAGCAGGAGAGAAACGGCTCTGGTTAGCATTGCAGAATTCGGCTTGGGCATTTTATATCAGAGATGTAAAGGTTTTGTTCTGCGTGGCGGACAGCGGCGTTGTGGCTTATTGGCATCTTCGAAGAATTGGCATGTATAGCAACCAAGTCCTTATCGTGCTTCTACCAATATATGCAGTTAATGTGTCTTGTGTTTTTAAATTGGCTGTACACCGCCCTGAGTCCTTCGGGAGAAGGGCAGTATAGAAATAAAATTATTATTATTATTATTATTATTATTATTATTATTATTATTATTATTATTATTAATGTGTAGTGTTGATTAGAGAATTTAGAGGTTTTCTTAATGCAGATAATCCACATGAAAGACCACAGAAGAAAGTTTAAAATATATTTAAATTGGCAGCATCTGCCTTACTTGGTTTGGGGTCTGGCTTATTTTGTTAGGTCAAGCCGAGTTGGTACTTAGTTGGGAACAGCTCCCCCTCCCTAGAATTTCAGGCTTGTAGGTTAGAAAGGAAAGTTTTAAAAGTCTCTCACAAAAATAGCAGAGGCAAATTACTTCTTTCTATTTGGCAAGAAAGCTGTATGAATTTATTTGTATCTTGTATTTTTTTTACAAATAACTCAAGGCAGAAAACATATCCAACATACTTTTCTCCTCTTATTTTCCCCACAATAACCCTGTGAGGTGGATTGAGTTGAGAGAGAATGACTGGCCCAAAGTTACCCAGCTGCCTTTCATGCCTAAGGCAGGATTTGAACACATGGTTTCACAATTTCTAGCCTGGTGCTTTAACCACTAAACCAGACCTGGGCATTTTATGGGCCACATCTGATCCTTTGGTTATCACTGTCCAGTCCATGTGACGTCAATCTGAAATTAAAAATCAAATATAAAGTGTACACCATGCATGCAATGTAACTGCATTGCTTTTATTTTGAAGGTGATTGCTATTTTTTTCAATTTACTTTGTGCATGCCTATTCACTTTCACAGCCCTGTTAGTTTGACTCTCCACAACAGTCCCAGTTTCTCATGTGGCCCCTTGGGAAAATTAATGATCCACTCCTGGCACTAGACCAAACTGGATGGCCATGAAATCAACAGCCGTGGTGGGCAGTAGTTAGAATGCAGTATTGCAGGCTAATTCTGCCGATTGCCAGCAGTTCAATTCTCACCGGCTCAAGGTTGAGCCAGCCTTCCATCCTTCTGAGGTCAATCAAATGAGGACCCAGATTGTTGGGGGCAATATGCTGACTCTGTAAACGGCTTAGAGAGGGCTGTAAAGCACTATGAATCAGTATATAAGTCTAAGTGCTATTGCTATCCACAGTCAAGTTCAACTGATATTTAATAAAATTGTGAGATGGAGTCAGGAACAGAAGCATGTAAGGTTCACCTACTGGCAAAATATTAATCAAATTTTCAGATCTAGATTGATGGATCAATTTCATGACACAATTGTGTTAGTAATTGTTAATGGAATGAAGACAAAGCAGCTTTCAGTGAACAGGCAGAACTAGATTCAACTAAAATAGGTATAGTGCAGACTTTGTTTTTTTTAGAAAACACAGGGCTTATTTTAGTGATTCATGTAACTTGCAAGTAATACTTAGAAATATGTGATTTCTGACTCATAGGTCAATGGATCTCAGAATCATCGATGGACAAACTGTAACCGACAACCAAGGCATAGTAATTATTTACTTCGGGAACTCAGAGAAATGTGGAACAGCTATGAAAGATATTAAATACTGAATTGGAAATAAATCTTTACTGAACCATGTTTAAACAAGTTTATATTTTTTACAAAGTTTATTTTTAATGATATTAATTTATTTTGTATGAACATTTAAACATACATGTATGTCCTAAAATCATCTAACACAATAAATACTTTAATTACCTGCTGTATAATTTAGAGTCTGCTAGTTTATTCATGGTATTGCACAGCCCAGACAAACCCCACATGCAGCCTGGGTAGTTCTCCTAGACATACAATTATTAGTTTAACGAGAGTTCAAGATTATGGTGGCATTGGAAAAAGTGGCTTATAATCGATCTTTGGCATTATATCGCACCACCCACATGATCATAATTTGGGCACTTGGCTCACATTTAAGACTGGTTGCAGTGTCTTGTAGCCACACAATCTTAATTTGCAACTTTCCCAGCCAGCTTCTGACAAGCAAAGTCAATGGGGGAAGCCAGATTTGCTTTGCAACCTCATGATTCACTTAATAATCATGTGATCTGCTGAACTATTGTGGTAAAAGTTATTCTAACTCACTGGATCCATTCACACAATGACTGGCTTAATAATCACATCATTTAGTGACCAAAATTTTGATCTCAATTGTGACCATAAGTTGAGGACAACCTGTACAGCAATTTGGTCTTTTTTTTTTTTTTACATTTAGAAGAAAAGTGGGTAAGGAAAGATACTATGGAAAGTTGCAAGAACATGCCTAGTATGGACAATGTAGACAGTTTTTCTTTCTTTTCTACATAAGTGTAGAACTTGGAACTGTCCATTAAAACTAAATGCAGAAAGTTCCAGATCAGTAGAAGAAAATTCTTCTTTCTATTGTTCTTAAACAACAGAATTTGTTGTTACTGAATGTAGTCATGTCATATTAGCTTGCTCAGATTCCATGTTGGATTTAGCATGGTCCAGAACACTCAGGCCAATAATTATCTGGCCCACAGTCTGATGCAGTTGGACTTTTCTTATTTTCCAATATACATTGTGAATAATTCAAGAATAGAGATTAAGTAATACTGTTTATCGCATGCACTAAAAATACTGCTCAGAGCCCATATAAGGATCTGTGCCATATGGATGTCACGTTACAGGGAGTCCTCCCTTTACTACTGTAAATTGTAATTGACTCCAGATTTACTGTCGTAAATCATTGTGGTTGTAAATTGAGGTATCATGTGACAAGACCTGATTTTTGACATTTGTCATTAACCTAATACCACAGTCACAATGCCAAGCTAAGCAAATGCCAAGATAAGTAAGCAAATCAATTTCCCCAATGGGCATTTTTTGCAGAAAACCAAAAGTAAATAATGGAAACAGGTAGAAAAAGTTGGAAATCATGGTCACATGAACATGGGATGCTGCAAACAATCGTAAAAGGGAGCCAGTTGCCAAATACCCAAAATGCAATCATGTGACTGTGGGGAGAAGAAACAGCCATTGTAACTGAATGGTCACAGAGTGACTGGTCATAAATTGAGGACTGTATATATTTAGTTAAATTGAACTGCATTTACTGTTTAGTTGGCCATTCCATTTAAAGAGATCCTTCAGGAGTTCTTCACAAAGGCTTTTTATAATTACACTGTTTCATTTACTGCAATTCAGCTTCCTAATAAAAGCATTTCTTAAAGTCTAATTAATATTATAAATACGAATTTCACAAAATAACAATACATATATATATATATATATATATATCACAATATTCCTTTTGTAGCAAGCAAGGTTATATAAGCACTAAAAGAAATAAGTATTAAGTTAAAAAAAGGTATGAGATAACAAGAAAATAGAGATGTTTTCATTAAGCAGCCATTGTTTTCTTTTACAGACAAAACTAGCTTCATTGTTTTGCAATGTATACTTTTTCTGGTGCAATTTGAACATTAGAACAGGCTGAAAGGAATTTGAATGAGATATTCATATGTCATTAAAATGACTTTAAAGAGATTAAGGATATTACAGAAAATAATATGCTCAAAATTTATTAGAGCAGCAGACACAGATTTACTCCAATCCCTGTTATGAATCAATCTCTTATTCTAGTGCTAGAAGTGTAATTTGTATTTATGTGCTGGCACTTACATTCATTCTAATCCAGCAGGACATGAGGCAATTTGAAATGAACTACCGGTAACTTTTTTTGTGATTGCTTGTTTGAGGGATGGTGCTTGGAGCAGTGTAATAAATCAGACTCCTTTCTTCATGTTGTATGGGTACAAGCCCGATCTCAAAAACATCCATATTTTTGGTTCATACGCTATGGTGAACATTCCCTTAGCTCAAAGAAGAAAAGGAGGTCCAGCAGCAAAGAGACTGAGATTTATGGGCATTGATGATAACTCAAAATGGAGCAAATTTATTGACTCTAAACATGTAATTGTGATTTCCCAATCTGCTAATTTTGAGGAAGATGTTGACTGGTCCAGGATTCATTCCAATGATCCTGGAGTTTATTTTCCTAGAGATGATACTGCTGATGCCGCGCAGATTGATGATCAAGATTCCACTAGTTCTTCTCAACCTGATGTTCCGTCTTCGCAAGCCGCGGATGCTGACGCTAGCGACGAATGTGAGGACAAGGACGAAGCAGAAGAATGGAAAGTTGTTCCGAGACGTTCCAAGAGGGTCACAAAGGGAATCCCTCCACAACAATATTCTTGGCAACTGACAAAATAACCCTTGCCTTTGATCTGCAATGTTACACTTCCACCTGATACGTTCATGCAAATCAAACATCTTCCTGATTCAGAGCAAGACAAATGCTATGAGGCAATGCAGGTTGAAATGGACAGTCTAAAGAAACTTAAGGTGTTTACACCTGCAAAACCTCCAGCAAACAAAAAGGTCATTGGCACTCGATGGGTCTACAGAATCAAAAAGAAGCCAAATGGTGAGTCATTGTACAAGGCCAGACTTGTAGCTCAGGGTTTCGCTCAAAGTTATCCTGAGGACTACACAAATACCTATTCACCAACAGTCCGGACTGAGAGTGTAAAAATCGCTTTAGCAACAGCAACTATCCTTGGTTTAGAAGTTTTCCAGTTTGATGTTGACACAGCTTATCTACATACAGACCTAGATGAAGAAATCTACGTGAGAGGCCCTCCAGGGTTCTGACAGCAAGAAGGGGATACCTGGTTTCTAAACAAAAGCCTTTATGGTCTGAAACAGTCTGGTTTAATGTGGTACTTATGTCTTACTGACAAACTAAATTCAATGGGCTTTATTAAGTCCGAAACTGATGAGTGCGTGTTCACAAAAAGATCTAACAATGCATATGAGATAGTTCTTGTTTATGTTGATGATATTGTTTATATTGGTCCAAATAAGCAAATGAGTGAATTTTTTGCCAAAGCTTTGCAGAGATACTTCACATTGAAATCATTGGGTAATATTAGCACTTATTTAGGTGTTCAGATTGAAAAAACACAGAAGGGATTTAGTCTTTCACAAGAGGATAAAATTGAACAAATTTTGCATCATTGCAACATGAAGGATGCTAACACAACAAAGACACCCACGCAAACAGATTTTCACAACTTGACACATGAAGCAAGTCCTGAGTTCGAGGATCAAACACTTTATCGTTCAGTTATTGGGCCACTGTTATACATTAGTAGTTGGACCAGACCCGACATTGCACTTAGTGTTAATCTCTTGTCTCGACACGTAGGTAAGGCAAAACAGTTTCATTGGACATGTGTTAAGAAATTATTGAAATACCTAAAGCACACTAAAAATATGAAGTTATTGTTAGAACCAACACATACTGATTATGCAGAATTATGTTGTTATGCAGATTCTGATTGGGTGAGTGATAAGAAATCACGTAAAAGTACTTTTTTTTTTTTAATTTGATTTATATGCTGCCCTTCTCCGGAGACTCAGGGCGGCTTACAATGTGTTAAGCAATAGCCTTCATTCAAGCCCAACCAAAGTTTCCCATGCCACTTCAGGGAGCGCTCCTCGAGAGACGAGAGCTTGCAGGGGGCCAAGAGAGCAATGGAGAGCAAAATCTGGCTGCTCCCCGAACCAGACGCTGTTTACCGCTCCGAGTCCCAAGCAACAGGAGATGAGGGCTGCCTTGTCCCGCAAATATGCCGGATTTTGCTCTCCATTGCAGACACCAGATCGTAATGCACCACCTGCAAAAATGCGAAAATTTCCAAATGTAGCCCTGCCCTCTTACAGCTCTCCTGATGTTCAACTGTTGTCTTTCAAGGAGGATACTTGGCCAGCTTCATGCTTGATGTCTCCCACCTTGGCAGCTTTAAGACTTGTGGACTTCAACTCCCAGAATTCTCCACAATTCCCCAGAATGGGCTAGGCGGGAGTTGAAGTCCAAACGTTGTAAAAGAGCCACAATTGCCCAGCCCTGGGTTAGGGTAGGCTGACGCCGCGTGGATGGGAGGCGGGGCAGGGCGAGGGGCAGGCAAGCCAGCAATTTAACAAACGGTTCGGTGTGCTGCGGGGCCAATAAATTACAAAAAAACACCGAACCGTTTGTTAAATTGCTGGCTCGCCCGCCCCATTTATTGGCAATAAATAGTGCGGAAGGGCGGGGCAAGGGGTGGGGTGAGCCAGCAATTTAACAAAGGGTTTGGCCGAACCCCCTAGAACCCCCAGAATCCCACCACTGGATGTACCTGATATTCGCTCAACTGGCAAAAGAAGGGGTTGTCACTGCGTTTTTGTATTTACCAGATGTGCTTTTATTTTTGGACTTTCAGACTTACCGTAGCTTGCCAAGTTCTTATCAGTAACTGATACTGCGCATGTCTACATTCCTTCACTTTCTTCTAACTTTTTTTTGTTCTCTGGCCAGGAGAGGTCTGGCCGGGGAAAGCTTTGCCAAGATGTAACTAATTAGCTAGTGAGATGTTTTATTTTCTTTATAACAAATAAATGAGTTTTTCTTAGAAAATATATCTTCGGGTTTATTTTCTTAAAGTATGCTTCAAGGGAAAAGCCTCGATTCACTTCTCTAAATCAAGGTGCAATTACCCAAAAGCAGAATGGGATTAATTAGCACCCTGACAGAAATCTCATTACTTAATCTGTGGTTGTTTCTTAATGTGGCAACTGAAAAGACTTATTAAACTAGAAAAATTTGATTTTATTATTTTTGATTGTCTGCTCTATAGAATCA